GGGGGGGGGGGGGAGCCTACGGCAAGGACCCCACACGTCGAGCGGCGGTCAACTTGCGTCCTCCTGCGCCCCAGGGCCATGCCACAACTAGGCTAGAGAGGCGCACCTCGGCTCTGGAGTCAGTTTGTGCTCCATTATTGTACAGCGCCAGGCGTTCTAATGGGTCGCCTGAAGTTTACCAACCGCTCCAGGGGGGTCGCGCGTGTTCTTCGTGTGTACTGAGTGTGTGTGTAGTCCGCCTGGTGTACCAAGTACTTCGGCGGACCTTCTGACTGCCGCCTGGTGTTTCCATGCCATGAACGCGTCGCATGTCGCATTATTGTAGCGGTTTTGCTTACACCCTTCGCTAGTAAAGGCTGCAGCGGTGCAGCTATGTGCTCTGGTGAAGACGCCGTCGTTCGTGCGCGTGCACGCACGGTACTGCTATTCCCTATGGTGCCGCCGTGTACTCCTCTTGCACCCGTGCGCCTCGCCTCGCCCCCAAAGCTAGCCGTGCTGCGAGCCGCTCAGCCCCGCTCAGTTACCACCACCCCCGCGGCCCCGAGAGCGTTACTACAACTCGCAGTCGTTATTTCAGCAGAATGACCAGGGGGTGGGTGGCGCCGCGCTGGTGGCGGAGCCGGGGCAGAGCCGGGGCAGAGCTGAGCTACCAACTCCCCGCCCGGCCCTGCCGGGTCTGACCGCTGCTCGCCTCCGGAAGAGAACGCCGTGCTCTGTTGTATGGCCGCGGCTCGCTCGCTATCCCTCTGGAGCAGAGCGAAATAAAGAAGGGGGAAAAAAAGGATGTATCAAAACAAAATGCGTGTTTTTTGGCGCGGCCTAGGCCACTCCCGGGGCACGGGCTCTTGAGGGACTCGGGTAGGCAGGTCCCCTGCGGGAGAGCGTGGCGGGGCGGGGCGCGGCGGGGTGCGGCGGGGTGAGGGACCCAAAGACACTCCGAACGCCCTGGCGGGGCTGCCAGGGCCGCAGGGGCTCCCCTGGCCCTGGCTGGCTGTCCCGCTCTCTCCCTCTTACTCTCCCTCTCCTCC